CCTTCCAATTAGGGGACGACCCGCTCTGCCTCTGCGCCACAGCCACAAACATCTGACTACCACAGGATGAAAAGCTATATACAATACAGGCCATCAAGACGTTTAAGTTACAAAAACAATAATCAAACTATCTCTAGCTACTGCATAGATTTGTAGAGTAGTGTGAGAAGTCAGACAGCACCAGTCTGAGGATTACATGAGACGTTCAGTCTTGTTTAAAGGTGTACATTACATGTGTCTGTTCTACAGTGCCATTAGGCTAATGAGAATTCATAGTAGTAACTTGTTTATCACTTCAGGCTCAATTACGGCTCCATCCAGGTCAACAGTATTAGCCTGACAGTATATTGATTGGTACAAAAAGGAACCGAGTTATTGATGAAACAGCCAAGATGGTGTCACTGGGCCTGCCAAAGAATGCCATCCATTATTTAGTAAAATCAATCATTTGGCAAATTAAAAAGGAGGAAGTTTTGAAAAGAAAATACTCTGCTGGGATTTAACCAGGCCAGCAATAGCAAGATAGAAACAATATTATTTTTTCTGTATCTTGATAAATAAAAGATGTAGCCTCTTTCCATTGATTACATCAATGTGCAATGGACGTATGGGCTCACAAATGTCAGAAATGTCAAGGCAGTTAACCATTGGTCTGGTTCATTCCTTATCAGTATGCATTAGGCGTGGGTTACTACAGTTCAGAGTACTCCATGGAGTCCGATCAAGTCCAAATTATACTCAGCACAGGAGTGTACTCAAAATCAGCTCTGATTACGTGGTAAATCATAATCACTGGGGGAGAACATATTTTATTTTTAAATCAGAAGCCTATGTAAAAAATGTATGCTATTAAATGAAAACTACTTTTTGGAAGTTGATTCAAACACTAAAAGAAATCTGCAATGACGGCAGCGGGAACAATTTGTAGACAGCGCTGACATATCGTCACATTTAAAATAGATATGGGCAACTTGTTTGCAAACTGTTGCTTATTTACACATCCAGCAGTTACGGAGAAACATTATCATTCATCTTGAGTCTTGTGTCTGGCCACATTCCAAAACTAAGTCCAACATTCAATATCCAATAACTTTCCTTTCTGATTATATTACTACTCTTTTGACCTGCGTTGGTGTTCTCTCTTTATTGGTCTGTTTGGGTTGCATTTTGAGTCAGAGGGCTGTGCTACAAAGCAAGGTAACTGGCTTATCCAGGTCACTTCAGGAGCAACTCTGTGACGTCAGGTGTAACTTACAAGTTAAGTTGTTCTACAAAAGGTGGATAAGTTTTACCCGAGGTATGTTGTCATGGCAATTTACTCTTCATTTCCAAACTGCTCAATGTTAACTCGATGTTAACAAACTCCTCTCCTCCGCCCAAAATATTGTGTAAAAAACGCTGCAGAGGACGAGGGTGTTCAGAGACCGGCAGAATCCTCTAGTTTACCCCGATGATGTTCTCTATGAAACATATCGATTCTCATCTGAGAGAATTCAGCATCTATGGTAGCTTCAGGGAATGCATTTATGTTCCCATTTAATTGTTATAAACATCAAAGAGGCTTTTTATGCGGTCACAGGTAATTCACATCATAGAAATACTTTTTAATATACATAGGCTAGGCCTATATACAGAACACTTTATTTCCAGAGGCAGATTGGTGCGACTGACTGGACACTAACAGTAGCATTACATTCACACAGATAGCCCTTCAGCCTCAATGCTTTAGGAAGTAGATTTTAATTCAGGGCTTTAAGTTCTCAGGCACCATCCCTAATTTCAGGCATAGAGCAGTTTTTAATTCATATTACATATACAGTACATTGTACACATTTCCTCCTGGATAACTTTTCAGGCTCGCTTTCTTGAGATATTTTTCTTTCATTTACCACAGTTGTATTCAATCATATCACAAATAAAGAAAGAAAAATAGAGAAACTACGAACACTGCAATGTTACTCATAAATTTGCAATGTGCTCCCAACAAACCTCCCTGTCATTGTTGGCCCCTACTACAGTCCTGATATTGTATGAGATATATATATATCTCTATCTAAAAAATGATATTTACATTCTTCTGGGGACATTATCAAGAAACTCTTCCTGCGCAGGCGAACACGCCCCTTTTATGCAATTAGCACACGATAACTTCTTAATCACCGTTGTAGTGCCATTTAACAAGAGGGTAGGCAATCAGAGTTTGTCAACTCTCGGGTCCTCGGGTCCAATTGTCCTCGGGTCTATTCGGGTCAGGTTTCTCTTTTTAAAAATGAGTTCATGCACATCAGGTTTGGGTAGATTTCTTTACAGGCCAGTTTGGGATTGGGTCCCACATTTTACTTCACTGGCTTCATCTAACCAGCATCATATTGGTCAAGCCTTTTCCAGAAATAGATGAAAATTGCCTAAGATCCAGATGTGAGCGGGCACCTACAGC